AGAAAAAGGAACATTTAAAGTTGCCTTCAGCCAACTCCATCCTCCTGAGGTGCCTCCTGCATCCTTTCGAGCTGCGTGTGTGTCTGAGGCTGATTTCAGGACCTGTCTTCTAAAYGGCCTCTGAATCTACCTCTGTGAGGGAAGCCAGGCAGATGTGAAGTAGAGCATCAGTGAGGGCAGAAAGAGAAAGGTAGAAATCCCCTTGTGTTTCACTTTGTTAAAAGGGTTTTATTGTGAATCCATCTTCATCATTCATCTGTCTCTCACTTGCCTTGTAAGCGACAGGGCTTTGCTCATAAAAGATAGATAGTTAGCCTTCAAATTCTGACTTCTCAGAGCTGGCTGAGGGCCCTTGGTGCCTTGGCCACACACAGATTTTTCAGGACCTACTGCCAGCTCTCCTTTTTTTCTCTCTTGAAGGTCCAACTTCCACTTTTATCCACTTTCAGAATTGCTACAGCTATTCAAAAATAGCAAGTACTGATAGTACTTGCATACAGTAGTACGGTCAAGCAGATGTGGAGCTTGGCAAAGCCCCACGTGCAGGTACAGCTGCATATAACCAGATCAGCCAACACTCGCAGCATTATGAAGTGTAGTAAAAATCAAATTTCTCACACTTTATCTCAGTGTGTCAGCCTTAATTGTTTCAAGATGACTATTCCATGAGGAGTTTTTCTTTTAAATTTATATTTCAGAGGGTCAAGTGTTTATATGGTTTTTATCCTCTCCTTGTCTTTGACCTGTTTGCTGAAGTCTAGTGCTCACTTTTCATCTAGGACTCAGAAGAAAAGTCCAGCTCAAGGTCACGAACTAATCACACGTCAGATATGGAGCTTCCTTMATTCCCTTGGATTTTATTTTTGGAGTGGGGTCAGCATGACAGGAACCCCGTGACTAAACATCCAAAAGCAGTCACAGCTGTGGTCGACGTAATCTTAGAGAGTTCATTCAACTTAAATCAAATGATTTTATTTGTTAACAGTTTAGATTTCTGAACTAGWGATATAGGAAAAAATTAAAATAAAGACATTTAAAAGAAAGAAAAATAATTCATATTTATTTCAAAACAATTAATTTGTAAAATAATTTAAAAGTAGTAAATTAAAAACTAGTGGGGGATGTCACATTAAGCTTTTTTGAAGAAATAAAATGCATTCACAAAATACTTCACTGTCAACAAAGTGACACTTTTTGGCCACCATTGTATTTGAAAAATATTGTTGAGAAATCACAGTGGTTTTAAGGTGACTAGATTACCGACTTGTGCTCTCCTGTCCAAATCTCAGCCATGTCAGCAGTTTGTCTTATACTAGTGTATATGTTTCTCTAAAACCTTAAGAAAGTCACATAAAGACTAAGCTTTCATTTCTTTAACTAAACTTCAGCTAAGGTTGTTCTGAAGAATAGCTGTATATGTGATCCTGAACACTCCTTGAAGACTAGAAGGCAAATAAGAGGAGCCCAAAATTACTAGTATGGCTGGTTTTGGTATTGTTCTTACTGTTACTTAATTCTTAATTTGAAATAAAATCATTCAACTAGTTCTACTGTCTTAGGATAGGTCTCTGAAAATTTGAATATCTGAGCAAGCTGTACACTAAACCCTCCTGCTTCAGTCCAGAAAAGGTTTTCTAAGTTTTCTTATTTATTATAATAAAGGCATTGGAATCACTCTGAACTGGAACCCTTGAGGGGAGTGTAGCAGATACAGGGGTGGGATCTACCCATTTCGTCTTTCTAAACCCCTACTGGTGGCAGAGTTGGTTCTAAATTATGTACCGAAGCCTTTTACATTTTTTGGAGCTCCAAGGGAATCAAAAGTGACTTTTGTGTACTCAGGGAGACCAGAAGCAGGTGGACAAAGGAACTGCCTAAGAAGCAACTAGAACTGCTAACTTGTAAATTACTTTCTTGATTAATCATTGTTAACATCTGAAAGGTGAATGAATTTGTGGAGGTGACCGATCCTGTGAAGTGATTAGCAAGAGGAGCTGACAATGCTGCAGGTATCACTTGCKCTTGAGAAACGAGGGCTACATAAAATCTTGCTTTCCTCAGCTGTAGTGCTGGTAACCCAGACATGGTTCATGACCAAAACTATAACATTGGAGAGAACAAAGTGGAGCCTTGAGCAAGTTCTGGAACCCAAAGCTAATGAAGGCTAGCAGACCAAGGGAGCACTTGCATCTTTTTGCTGGACCTTCTTAACTCTTCCCTGCTTAAACTGTCTTAAAGAGGTGAGACAGTTAATTATGCAGTTCTTTGCAGCCATTGCATTAAACTGTGCTTTTAATAGACTTATATATTTGCCTGATCCCTTGTGTTTTTAGAGTTCCTAACACAGCCCCAGGTGGCTGGCAGAAGTCTCCCTCTGCCCACCTTAAAGATCCCATTCAGGGAATTACTTTTGTGTACTCCAGAAACAGGGGACACACACAGAGCAACTTCATATCAAGAAAAAAAGAGAGTAGTCTCTTTTTTGGGAGTAGTTCAGGCTCCCTTCAACCTCTCCTGAGTATCAACACCTCAGACTTCAGCTACCCTAAGATTTAAACTCACAAATCAAAATTCCGATCTACAGGAAGCAGCAAGGAGAGACTGAGAGAGAAAAATATTTCTTAGATAACAAGTGACTTTTGAAGCAAAGCCCCAGAAGTAAAACAAAATGTACTTTTGCTTCAGGTTTTTTTCTTGATACATTTTTTTTCTTTTCATTGTGGTCCCTTGTTTCCCCACCCAGACAAAATGCAGCTATGACAACATGGAAATCCCCTGGGCAACTCTGTTCTGATAATAAGATTGTTCAATGTTCGACCAAAATATTATGTCTAAAAAGTCTATTTTTTTTAAGTTTGCTTCAGCTGAAACGGAAAAAAGAAAAAAAAATGATCAAGTCATAGCCCACTCAATTATAAACAAGACAAATTTAAAGCGAGACGGTGTCATTTCAGGTTACTGATCASTCAGCTCAGCAGAGCCATACTTTATTGATATTGCTAGCTGAAAATAAGGGTTTCCAGAATGATATTATATTTAATATTACCAATCCAAGTGCTTAATTTCTCAAGTAGACTTTCCTAATATTTATTTAAGCTGATATGGAGCATCAGTCTTAATGATGTTAAATCAGCACATGTCAGTCCGTTTGATTCAAATTTGGCCTTGGTGAGCTTAAGGTGGGACATAGGACACTTAGGAGCGAGATGTCCATCCTGAAGTTCCACTGATGGGACTTCTGAAAGAAGACCTCTGAAAGACGACAATTTTTGGATGCAGAGTGTACAGATGGGTGCTGTGCCCCAGGTAATTCTGTCAGTGAAGGCAAGAAGATTGAAGTGAGGCTGTGCTGATGCTGTTATCTCCAGCAGGGCAATGAGGAGAACTTGAAAGGTTGTCACCCCAAGTTTCCCAGCCTAATGCCCAATTTTCTCAGGCWACCACAGCCTGACAGGTCTCTCCTGCTCCTGTTGTTGGGATTTACCCTGGAGGTCTGCACGGGAGATACCCTTTGGGCTCCTCTTGAAGAGAGTTAGACATATTTAAGGGTTAAATGTCATCTTTTAAATGTTTATTTTGGGACGGGATGAATCAGACTTTAAAAGAAGCAGCTGCCCTCCACCGTCTGTAAGGGAGGAGTGAAGCACGAGAGCCTCTGACGTAGGTACCCGCACAGTTAATACCAACATTGGGTCAGATGAATCCAACCCCGTTTCTCAGTGTCTGTGCAGGCTAAGCAGGTCTTCARGGATCTCTCTCCCTCTGCAGTGACCTTCAAGGTCTGATTACATGGAGGTTGTGGCACAGACACGAGAGCTACCAGACCCTGCTACCAGGAGCTGCTGCRCAAAGGGAATCACTTCTTGCCATGAAAGGCCAGTGGAAGATGAAGAGGGGATCCCAGAAATACCCTGTTCTTGGGCAGCTGGGCTGCCTGTCCCCGCTTCACAGGACAGAAGGGGCACCAGAGGAGGCCCACCCTGACAAGAGGGACACTTTCCTAGATGTGAGGGCTGAGCATTCATCATTTTGGTGCTTGCTTTACATTCTTTCCTTGCAGATTAAAACGCTGCTATGGCTTGTGAAGTGGTGCCATCACTTTTCTGTTTGCTCAGGCACTATTAGCAGCGTTACCCTCTGTTTCTTTTACGCCCCCAACACAGAGCTTTTCTGGTGCATGCTGTGCTGTGCCAGCGCCTGCTCCAGCTCTTGCATTCAATTGCTGCCAGCCACATCAGTCAGCAGCATTACCAGCTGTGTGCACTGGTGTAGTGAGCTGCAGAAGGCGTATGGAGGAAATATTTAACACCTCCTCACTACCTTCCTCTTTTTTGCCTCTTTTTTTGTCCTAAACTTGAAAAACTATGAGATGTATGTCTGTTCTCAGGAGTAGGATKGTGCAGGAGTAGTCTTCTAGACTACAACTTGTCAGGGTCAGCACTGCCTTGCTGGGGACTTACACAATGCCAGGGCTAAGCATGACTAGGAAAGACTAAGCGTGGGAATTCACAGCCGGTAATTTTTCCCTTTCAGGCTTGTGGATCTCCACTGGAATGAAAGAGGATGTGAGGAATTAGACAATTTAAACTGAAGATAGAATTTAATGCTCTGTTTTTGGAAGTAAATTGCATAATATGTGGACTGAATCATGATCCCAGGGAAATTCATAGCAAATATCCCACTGGGAAAGTTAGGGGAATAAGCCAAGAAATTTGCCTCCAACTCACTGGACTTGATCAGATTTTGCCCGGTGAGTCCAATGGACCTAATGAATCAGGCCCTTAGTTTTGAAGTGGGAAGCGTGTTTCAAAGTAAAAGCTCTGCTCGTATCTTCACACTGGCTTCCTGCTCTCTGCCACTAGTCATCCTTGTCGGCATGTTTACATTTCCCCCTGCCTGCGGTCTCTTTATCAGGCAATGGGTTTGTTCTGCCGCCTCCTATAAAGCAACTGAGCGCGGGTTTGTGTGCGCACGTCCTGCACCCATGCAGCTGCCTCAGGATGACACGGACGGGTGCTGTGCTGAGCGTCTTCTTCTTGTTTCTTCACACGGCTTCAGGGGAAAGTTGTTGCACCTCAGCAGATGGTGACGGTGAGTAATTTCATGTCCACCTCTCCATTTGTGTGTGATCTTGAAAGCCTGGGTTAAAGCTGCCAGATGCAAYGTTGGGGAAATTGTTTTAATATTTCGGTGCTTGGGCTCTTTCTGTTAGTGTCAGTGCCTTAGGTAAGTGTGGAGCTGGTGGATTATCTACTGATGCCCAGGTTTGCTTTCTTTGTAACATCCAAATTGTCATAAAATCACAGATAGCTTTATGCAGAGGSCATGCAAGATCAGACTGGTTTAGCCTTTCTCAATATATTTACATTTATGTGAGGAATTACACGTGTTAGTAGGGAACATTTAATCTCCTTTTGTTGGCTTTAACTACCCTGAGCTACTGTCAGAAAACGGTGAGGTTCTAACTTTTCTTGCACTTGTTAGTTTCTTCCAGTGAAAATATTTTAATGTAATTCAAGCTCATTCCACCCTGCTCCATTTGAAGATTCAAATTTTTCTTCAAAAGATTATCTACATTATACATGAGTGTAATGCCAGTCTCCATGATAGTGTGGCTGAGGCAGCAGTTCCACYAGGAGCCTCTCAACAGTCCATCACTAATGAGCATCCATCACTTGTACACCAAAAATTATATATTAATTCAGCAATTTAAATTCAGGCTTACTGCAGATTTCACGTGGACAGATGAAAATTCTTTAGCAGCTGAATTATCCGAATTAAAAGTCAAAATGTAAAAAGCAATAATAAAACCACTCTTTCAACCTTTTCTCAAAGGGAAGATGGAAAAATGGATTTTCATATTCAACCTCAGATATTTTAAACTTTTACTTGTCTAACCCTATTCCTCCCTATAAATAGCACTGACRAAGTCTGTTGTACTGTGCATGAAGGACACGGACAGTCACTCAGTTATGAGGAATTTGGAGGTWTCATAATTTCACTGTTTGGAAGAAACAAAGTTTTTTATTCAAAAAAAAGTAATGACTGGAGACCTATGCTACCTATCAGATCTAATCATGAGGATCTCTTTTTTGCCCCTTGTGTGTCATATGTTATATATTTGTATATGTATGTGCAGATATAGCTGTAGAGCTGTACAAATACAAATAGGATGCTCATGGCAAGTTTATTACTTATATTACTTAGCAGAAAACAGAAAACAGCTTAGGTCTGACACTAACAAACACTTTTTTTGTTCGGGTTTTTTTTTGCCTTTTATTTTTCTGTTTGCCTTTTGTTTACACATTTTGTTTAGAAACGGACATTGCAAGCAGTTATTGTGGTCAGTGGTCAACACTAATGATTTACAGTTGAAGCCACTGAAGCCTTTTCACCAGCTTCCAGTAAATCACGACTAGTCCTTTGCTTAGAAATAAGCAGATCTGGAAAATCCCTATTGAGTAATTAGCAGCTTTAATGCTTTCTCTCTGAGCTGTGTGGCTTCGGTCAGCAAGTTAAACAATTCTGGGTAAAGTGCTGGGGATGGATGTTTGAGCCTTCCACCTCTGACTTCATCCTCTCCCCGGCGAAGCCCCAGTGAAGTGCTGCCAGCCAGTAGGCATCATCTTGCCCTCTTCTTATGAGCAGGGCAGGGAAGAAGTTCACTTAATGTTCTTGCCTTCAATTTGTTCTTTAAGATGTGGTCTGTCTCCCAGCTCTGTCCCCTCTCTTCCAGCCRCCCACAGCCTGGTGGAGGGGGATGGAGAGCCCCCAAAGCCATAAGAGAGCTACAAAGCCACAAGAAGAAGCAGCAGCACCTTGGCATGTGTCAGCGGGCAGGACAGGGATAGTCCTCCTCCACCGACCTGTATAGTTTGTCCAACCCACRCCAAAACCACTCTGATTATACTGGTTTTCCCCTGAATGAAATGAATCCTAAATCTGTATATATTCTGTTCATTGCAATAGGGACTACACAGTTCACAAGGCTCTGTCTGGGAAAACTTTATCTACATGGACAATTCAGTCACCGACCCTACAAGTATTTACAGATGCCTTTTGTTTCATGCAGTCTAGTTAGTCCCAGTGGCTTCAGAGCATCAAGTTTAAGCATGTGCATGGACATATGCACATGGGCTCTGCTCTTAGTACTCTTCTCTTGGTAGAAGTTCAGATTCAGACCGTTCAGCTAGGTGCTGTCCAAACCCAAGGGGCAACCACTTTGGTGAAGGATGTGCTGTACAGGACTGTTTTTTCTCCCAGTTTTTCTCCCTCCTCATATTGAGTCTTGCCTTGGTTTTAACAGACCCAGGCTCAGACATGCCAGAGATGTGCTCTGGTCTGCTCAAGGAAAAAAATCACTAAAATATGTAGATTTTAAATTGTATAAAGGACCCTTACCAGTGCAAGCCGTAGTGGAGTCATCAAAACCATTTACGCAATGAACACATTTGTGTGTGGTGCTTTTGAGGTTTAAGGTAGCGTAAGTGGGGCTACMTACGTGTACATGTCTGCTAAAAGCAAAATTACTGTTAGTTTGTGGAGGAATAGTACCAGAAGAAGGTTTTCAAATTGCATACTGAACACTGTTCGTGAGATTTATGTATCATATATTCTCTGACTTCAATGTGATTTCCATGAATAAGGAACCACATAATCGCGGTGTGAAAGTTCAGTCTCTGAGAGGCAAAGTCTTGCACCCAAGGGTGAGTTATACTAGTTAAACATTAAGCAACTATTTGAACTGCAAGAGCAATACCTTTTCATTCTTTTGATTTTGCAATTAGACTCATAGAAAATGAGTCAAAATTTCTGACACTTTTCAGCACAGCAGTATCAAACTTTTGAAAGACTTTTATTGATATGATACTTTGCTATCATATACAATATATAGCTTTCTTATACAATATATTAGATTTTTTTTCACAAAAAGCATCAAGCAATGCATATCTCATATGAATTAACTCATCCTAATTCAGAAGTTCTAATGCTGTCTTATGGTAACTGTAAGTGTAAATAAATTAAGCTCAGAATTTGTATCTGAGGTCTTAGCAATGCTTCAGAAGTGACATATCTGTGTGTAAGCTTTGGTTGTATCTACCTAACCATCTAAAATATTTCTTATGCAGATTAATTTCAGTTCATTTGTCTATTTATAATTTTTGCACATACCTACTTTTACCCACAAATCAATGATTATAGGTAATATATATTTCTGTATATATATATGTCTGTCAAGATGGCTCAGGGATGTGTGATCGAGACTTCCCTCTGTGTGAACCTGCTGTTTGCTCATTCTAGAGCTGCACTTAACTTCCATTTTTCTCTCTTAAATGTTGATAGTCTAGCAGATTAGTGCACTACTTTCTTTTTTTAGCATGCATATGCTGCACAGAGTATCCCCACAAAGTGGCAAAGATGCTAAAAGGTGCCACATTTCTTCATCCTTCGAGGAGAGCAGGTTTCACCTTGCAGCATCTTGAGAAGAGAAAAACTGTTTTGTAGCTTCTTAGCATCAGGCGCTCGTGGTAGCCACAGAAGAGCCCCTCAAAGCAGCAGGCTCCAAGGTCTGGAGTGATGCAGTGAGATGYCCACCCAGCTCCCGCCACGGATGCTCATCAGAGCTGCCTTCCTCCCGGCCCCCCAGCACCACATTTGCATTTCTCGCTGCCTTTCTTAATTGCTTCACGTACCCCTTGCCAGATCCAGCTCAGTTTTGACATCACCAGGAACACAGGATGAGGGGCGCTCTGGAGGCTGTTTTTTGTTTACGATTTAAAGTAATCAGATGAATAACCCTTGATTTCTTTTTGTTGTTAAATCATGACTGTTTAGAAACCTCAGTTCTTTCTCCATTCAAGACAAAGACCTGTTTCCCCGTTCAGGACAAAGCCAGGGATCATAGGACACACAGTAGCTACAGTAATCCAAATATTTGTCACTGGTATGACTGTTAACCACAGTACCCAAGTAGCCAGTCACTCTCGATAGTTTGAATTTACCTGGGCGACATCCACAATAAAGATTATGTTCTCTGGGAGGGACTTTCCATGGGATGTGTTTCCACAGGTATTTCCCTGCTCGGGCAGTTATGTGAGTCTCTGTCCTCACGGGAGTTTTCTCTTTGGCCACGGGAGTTTTCTCATCCCATTTCTTTGGGATGGCCACATCTTAGAGAAACCTACGGGAGATAATTAAATATGAGGGTGGATCAGGAATAATCTGTGGAGATTCCCAGGCAGTGGGTTACATATCATCACAGAGATCCTTAGCCATGGGTAAAGGAGCAGGGATGTTTCTCCCACCAAAAGGATGACCTTGAGGGCTCCTCACAGTGACCATTCTATATGAAGTCCCACTGAATTGGCAGTTTCTGCCAGAGGGGGCTTCTTTCTAAAGCATCACTTTTTGTTTTGCTGACTTCATATATGCCAAGTGCAGGACCAGTCATATGCTCTTAGTCAAATTGCAATTGTTTTATGAGTCATCAAGGCAAATTTGCAGGAAGCCATGTGTTCCGGCAGAAAATTTGAGCTTTCCTTCCTGAGCCCAAATTTTGTGACTTTTCAGAGAACACTGCAATACAGCCAGAATGTGCTTTGGGACTCCAATGCTTCATGATAGCAAAATACCCCTGTTTATCTAAAACTACCCAAACCATTTTCCAGTCTCCTCGGGAATCTGCAGACCGGCCGCAGTCTCACGTCACACCGTGGGCAGGGGCAGGAAGATGCTGCACTGATGCTCTTGGGTGTCTGCAGGGCGCTGGTCCTCCCACAGGCACCGCAAGGGGACGTGCTGTTCTTGCCTCCTCCAGGGTAGATCTACTGCCTTGGCATTGCAAGATCTTCGAGGTGCTGCAGGCTCTCCTGACCTGAAATTCCCATACAACAAAAATTCCTGCAGAGACAGCCCTCATTCTTGAGAACACATTAGCCTTGAGCATCATCCCCAAACACCGCTGGTAGGAATCACGCTGAGCACCATCTCGCAGGGTGCATTTCTATTCTGTTCCTTTTTGAGACTGTTTTGCTCCTTKGCAGCTTTTCACCGGACCTCCTGAGTGTGTCTTGCTCCTCTTTGCCTGACAGGGGCTAGTTGTGGTCTGTGKTTTCTAATAGGAAAACCTGTCTGAGAAAGTTCTGAGAAAACTCTCAAATGGAGTAGATCCTACTTTTCTCTTGGCCCAGAGTTCCTGTGTAACTATTAAAATTAGCATGTCCCCATGCTTGGCTAGAATGACTGCCTTAGTTACAAGGCAGAGAACAGTTTAATTTTCACCGCTTTGCACCCTACCCTGGGACCTTTTCACACAGACAGTTTCCAAGATGTCTTCAGCAYCCTCCTTTCACCATGACTAACAGAAGAGGGCATTCGCATGTGTCTTGTCTCATCTAGTCATCTGCTACGCAGTGTCATTTAACAGTTCCCCAGAAAATGATGCTGTGATGTGAACCTCGGCAGAGGGGTTCAGTCAACTACAGTGAAAACAAACTTGAAAGGTTTAAGTGGCTTTCCCTTTCATTTTGAGCAAGCTTTCTTCTCCTCTTACGAAATTGATAGATTGATCCTCTTTCTTTTAGGCAACAGCTTATAGAAACAACCCCTTTTACAATAAATCTGTGAAACAAACAAAGTTTTAAGATTGCCTGGAAAAAGACTTGAGAATTTTATAGTCATCAGCTGCTGAAACCAGCCTCAGGGTAACCATGAACATTTGTAATTGACTAAGGAGAAAGCAATTCTTTTATGAATCTTTATTAAGCTTGCATTAAAGCTTCAAACAATCTGAAATGTTACACTTTCAAGACCATCTCTGCAAAGGGTCATCTCATTTATTTCTGGAAAATGTTTATGCAGGAACCACCCCACAATGTCATTGTCATTATCATACCCACCTCTACTTCACATCCACTATGTGTAATACTATATTATTATCCTTCTTTGGAGATTTTCAACACCCTTCTGGATGCGATCCTATGTAACACGCTCTAGGTGACCTTGCTTGAGCAGACAGGTTGAACTAGATGATCTCTAGAGTTCCCTTCTTACTTCTACCATTCTGTGTTTTTGTACTTAGTTTCCTTCATCAGTTTGCTATAATTTCTCCTTAGGGACCTTTGGAGACGATGAACCAGATAATCTGGACATCAACTGCTTCAGTCAGCTGGAATTTAAGGATTCCTACAGCAGCCTGACTTGCAATTTCACAGAGCTGCCTCCTTCCAACACTAACTACAGCCTAGCTGTGTGGTAAGCAATGTCACTGTCTGTCCTTTTGCAATGCTTCTGGGAAGCCCCAGTGCTAACAACCCAAGAATAACTTCGGCATATTCTGGGAAAGTGGATTGGAAAAATAGACAAAGCTTCTAATTCACTTGGAATTCAAAGAATTCAAAAAATTCCAAGTTTCTGATACCAAGTTTGAATACTATGTTCAGCAAAAATAACAAGGATCAGTAATGTGCATTATAACATCTATAATATTCCTGATCTTTATTCTGCTGCTGTGGAGCATATGTTCTCACTGGTGTAGCTGAGCATGCACAGAGAGTATTTTCCTTTTAACAAACTAGGAATGACTTTTTACAAGCAGATCTTTTCCCCACAAAATTCTTTGGTGTGAAGGTGTGAAGTTTTCCACTGACGGAAAAATGTCATTATCTTGTCCAAGATGAAAAATAAGCAGTTGTCTTCTCACGCACTAACATACAAAAATAAACCCTAGAATGAGTACTCAAACACCCAAACAGCTATCAAACAGTCTATAATCTCCACTCTTACTTGAGGCCATGAAATCCTCTTCTACCTTGTTTTTGTCACTGATGCACCTATCTGAAGAAGTTCTTTTTTTTTTTTTTTTTTTTTTTTTTTTTTTTTTTTTTTTTTTTTTTTTTTTTTTTTTCCTGAAACTGAAAGTATGGCGGCAGCCAGAAAAAGTGAATTTTTTTATCTCGCTATTCTACTCATTATTTATTTACAACTTTTTTTTGTTATTTATTTTCTGTTGTCTATTTTCAAAGGCTTAATTCTGGGGTTTGACTGAAATTTTATGACAGTCCCTGACAGGGAGTCACAGATGAAGGAACACAGACATATTTCGACCTGTGAAACTGTGCCATTAATTTCCTCATGGCCTGGCTGAGTGTTGATCCTGTATTTGCTTCCACTGCAGTCAATAGAAAATTTCTCCTTGCATTCAGTAAGCACCCTGACATACTGCTCTGTATTTACAAATGGCAGCAGAAAGATCATATTTAAAACACAACTTTTTTGAACATATATATTCAAATAAATAATGGCATTTTTTTTCCTTGGATAGCTCCAGGACTCCTGCTGTGATTTGTACCACTTGATCATTATGCTCACAGACAGTGACTAAAAACAATATGAATCTTCTAATGCCTTTGTTTGTGTGGTAAAGTTTCTTATTTCTTATTCATAGGGAAACCAGTTAATGTGAAATGAATGATCAGAATTTGTCCCTAACTATGTCATAGTAAGACTGAGAAGAAACTAACGTTGTGTCACTTTGGTCAACAGTACCAAGGAAGAAAACAGTTATATATGTTCCAACATGGAGAAACATGAAGATGAGTATTTCTTACAGTTTACTGATATACTCTCAAAAAGATTCGTTTGCATGGACTCCGAGATGAAAAGAAAGATTTGCAAGAGCCTGATATTAACTGAAATTGGTAAGACACCTAACATTTTGCTCATTATATACATAATTTTTTGCTTCACAACCTAGTGTGGTCTGTTAAAAAAGTGCAGCTGAATTCTGGCTTGCTTGCTATTACACCCCTTTTGTCCAGACTTAGACCTAGATCAAATTACATGAGTGAGTGAAACAGCTATTTTGATGATTTACTGAAATGTCAAGCAGGGATATTTTGTTCATCTCCTGCCGCAGTTTCAGGGCTGACGACGTAATGTCTAGCATGAGCTCAGCAGACACTCTCTAGTCCCTCACAGGGCTTAGGAGGCCGCAAGATTTCACTTCTTCATGCCTTGCTCCATGGCGGAATCTACAACCTGAGGTCAATGCTCCTGATTCCCACAGCACAGAAAAGATGCTGGGGGACATGTAGAAACTGTGACATCCTGCTCTTACGAAACGTTTCTGTCCTTGTATAGTTCAGTAATCATCTTATGCCTCATCTCCTTTGGTGGGCCAGCCTGGACCAACTTTCTGTGCTATGAAATGCCCCATCCAGTTGCTTGGCGGTTTACCAGTGCATCATAACACCACTGAAATGTCAATGCTGGCTTCTTGACAGCTTCCCCATCACAGTCACAGCTCTTAGTGTTGAAGGCTCAACCTTGGCAACTGACAGGTTGCTCTTTAAACATAATTTAGTAATCAGAACAGAAGGCAGAAGTCTCAGACCCCTGCTTAGAGGGCCTGAACCTCGGGTCTCCAAGCAGAGCCAGTGCAAGAGCACGAGATGCTCTGATATTTCTGATGTTATTTTCAAAAGACTCAGTGTCACAGTCCAGGAGATGTAGTCCCTGCTGCTTCTCTGTTACAGCAAGTTGAACTCCAAGCCCCACTTGGGACGAGGGGAAAATGATGAAGTGGAGCTTGTCATTAGTCATTACCCTTGCCCAGACCGGGTCAGCCCTGCACTGTTTCCTACACCAAAATAGGTCAACCACAATGGGGTTGAGATTGAAATGGGCTTTTCAAAACCTGTTTATTTTGTAGTAGCATTAATCTGATCCTGTCATATCCTGTTTTGTTATATTTTGCAGTTAAGCCAGAAATACCATTTGATATAAACATCACATACCAAAAGGAAGCCAATGAATATCTTATTCATTATAATACGCCACACTCGTGGAAGAAATACTTAAAGGACAAATTAATACACCAAATAGACTATCGTCAGAAAGAAGGGATTTGGAAGGTAAGTGGCAATGTAGGTAGGTTCTCATTAATTTCTGAAATTAACATTACCAGAAATGCCAGTAGCAGGTCAAAAAATTCTCAAGTCTGCACTTTAAGAGTTCTCCAGTTGAAAACCTGGAAAGATGCAATGGATGGTATTAAGTATTTTGTTAATTGAAGCAGTTCCAGACTGACAGCAACTGTGGCAACTAGATACTTTTCCGAACTACAGAAGCATCCTGTGCTTGTACCTCACACTGAAAATAGAAGAAATAATAAAGAAACAGAACTGTCTTGAGTATTACTAGTAGTGAGGTTTGCTATGATGGCCTTGGTCGTATTTTCTGTGCCTACCATTTAGTAGATGGTGTGATGTATGGTGCTACAGCCTGTGATCCAGCCTTTCTTCCTACAGCAATTGGTTTTTCCTGTCCCTTTCTCTTCACAGTGTCCCTAGCCTGGGGGTTATGTGGCATCATCCCTCCCTGCATCATATTTCAGGCTGCACTTTTCAGAAGTTGCCTTTTCATGCACCATAGTCATCTTTATTTTTTCTTTCTCCCTTTTGAGTCTTCCAAGTTAGTGTATATTGCCCACCACCTCACCAGAATTAGCATAGTGCCATTTTTGCTCAGGCGGGTCTTACTGCCATTTCTCTCTCTTTCTGCTGCTTTCCTGACTGTCTGTTATGATGCTGTCCTGGCTATGGAGCCAGGGTGATGCTGTGAGGGTCACCTTTGCAACAAGCAAACACACAGAGCAAAGAGCAGAGGACAGCACGGCCTCACGTTTGTGCATAGCTGAAAACCTAGAATTAAAAAAAAATGTATTTAAGTGTTTCCTTCCATGATGCCGCTCCTTAAGATGTAGCTATAGATTTTTTTTGTCTTTTTAGATAAAGTAATTTTTTGTGTGTTTCTGTTTTTAGACAGTAAAGTCTCAATTCCTGCAGATAAAATTACTGGGGAAAAATCTTGAAAAAGATGCCTCATATGAGGTGAGAGTCCGTTCAAAGCCCAATGGAGATTATTTTAGGGGCACATGGAGCGAATGGAGCACTTCCAAGAGCTTCAGAACTAGTGAGAATCACTCCCTGGAGGAAGGTAAGGGGGAAAATAAACCTTGCTTTTGTTTGTGAGAAAAAGCTCAGCTTGAGCAGGAAGAATTGGGGCCCTCAGGGTGCCATGAATGATGCCCTGGCACCTTGGTGCTGCTGTGCCCTGTGGCAACCAAACCCTCAGGATCCTAAAGTTTGACATTCATTTCTAACTCGTTGTCTGAAGCTGCATTACAATTGCACTGGCCAAGTAAGGCATTTAGATGCCATAGCAGATGCTCTTTTTTTTTTTTTTTTCCTTTAGACACTGACATGGTCATGATTATACTCTCCGTACTGGGATTCATTTTGTTGGTTGTCATGGTTATCCTGATCCTGACTTTTTGGGAAAACAGGTAATCTAAGTCTCTTCACATCAGAAGGAGTTGGAAGCCAATCCAATTCTGGCAGTCCTGTTACTTTCTGTTTACTGTTATGCTCGTGAACTGCTCTCTTTCCATCTCTATATCAAATCTCAAGAGATTTGAACATTGTTTAGTGGTGAGATTGTCTCTTTTGTTTTCATATGCTGAGTCAGCAGGATGTTCACACTTTAACCCTTTCAAAAGCAACATGGTAGCAGTCTGTGGGAAGAAGTCTTGGTGTCATCAACCACAAACCCATTCTGCTGGAGGTCATATTTGGGTGTGCAAAGCCAGGCTCTTCCCCACCAAAGTGATCAAGGGAGATCTGGAACTGAGGCTGTATCTCAGAGGCAGTCCTTTTTGTTTATTATTTATTTACTTACTTATTAACCACAGAACAATAGATAGATATATGTAAATATAGAAAATAGAAATATTTTCTATAGAAATATAGAAAATAGAAAATAGAAATATAGAAAATAGAAAATATAGAAAATATCATTTAAAAGTATGCAAATATGGCCACATGCAAGTTGTTTGCTAGGGATGCTCCTTGAGCTGTGCCAATCCTGAAACGCACATGGGGATTATTGGAGATGCCCTGGTTGTTTCTGCTCACACCATGGCAAGGACCTTTCTAATAATTAAGCAGTATCACATCTGTGTTGTCTGCCAGGAAACACTCCTTGGTGCTGCTTAATTTGCTGGTATAGATGTAACCTAAAATTTCTACAGCTTGCTTTTTGATGTTCCTGAGCACCTTCAATTCTCTTAACTTTCCTACAATGCAAAGTTGTAATATAAACTGCATATATAAAATCTCTAGAACATCACTGTTTAGACAGTGAGGTCCTTTGAGACCAGAGGTCCCATTTTTAAATATAAAAAGGCTTTTTCATGTGTATATGCACAGACACAAATAAATATAGATTTGTATACATCTATATCTATATTATCAATATCACTGCAACACTGAGTGTCAATTGGGCAATATCTTTTAGCTATATCATGGCAGAAGGGCTTGAGCTGCACAGCAAGAAATCTAATTAAGGCAATAAAATGACACTTATGGGATAAGGCCACAACATAGATGTCTGAAGCACAGATAGTTGGCCAGGGAGTGGAACAATTCACAATTCTTTATTTAATAGAATCCCATGTACAAATTTGCACTTTAGCCACAGCAGCTTGTTCCATTGCAGCAGTTGTTTTCATCATACAAAACCCAGTTAAAATAGTCATATTCAAATGAGACCTTTACCAGCACAATTTGCTGTTTTTCCAACAATGGGTAAGTGTCTTACTTTAACCATGACAACCTATGCATTCATAAGAGCAGTGACTACTGGGTGGCCTTTTATTTCTCTTCTCCCATAGTTGTTTTATTCTGAGTATTCAATTCATTCTGAGTCGTGCAAACCCCCTCCAAGATTGCAAGAGTTAGTACAAATGATTCAGTACAAACCTCATATATCACAATATGTCTCTCTGCTACTGTTGAGCCCTTTTTTGTCTATCATTACTATTTCAGGATCAAGCCTGCTCTGTGGCCAAGCCTTCCCGATCATAAAAAGACTCTGGAGCAACTGTGCAAGAAGCCAAAAAGTGTACGTACTTCTATTGTTCTTATTGTATGAGTATAACCTATGGAGAACATAAGTAATACCCCTGACGATATGCATGTTTTCTAGGGACTAGGCAGTCAGCCAAAAATGACTTTGAAATTTTATTCGAGAGGTAACATTTGCCCAAGCAGATGCTGTTGAAGGGTATGAATGTAAAAGAATTCAACCCCCTGCCTGATCTGATTTGCACATACACACATGCACAAAGTAGAGTGTTGGAGAACCTGATATATTATGTAAGGTTATAGGGTTTATATATTATATAAGGTTATAGGTATATAGGGTTATAGGAAAGAAAAAACTCAGAGGGGATTTAATCACACCCTGCCAATGCCCAAAAGATATAATGTACAGAAAAGATGAAGATGCCCTCTTCACAGGGATGCATGGTGACAGGACAAGAGATAGTGGTCAAAAGTAACTTCAGGAGAAATTTGTCCAATTATGAGGAAAAAAATCTTTACTGTGAGAAAAATTAAACATTGTGTAGATTGCCTGAAAAAAGGTAGAAACTCCTTATCTGAAAATATTCAAGATTTAGCTTGAAAGAGTCCTGGATAACCTAACCTTCTGCTTCTGGCAGAAGGTTGAACGAGATGGACCAGGATGAACCAGAGGATCCTTCCAATAGAGATTTTCCTGTGACTTTGTGATCATGGATCTGGAAAGGGAACCCTCTGCAAACATGCCTGGTGATGCTCATCTGGCCTTATAGCACAACTGCTCACGTCCCATAAAACAAATAAACCTTTTTGTTGTTTTTTTCTCAGACAAAGACCTGTTGTGCAAATGTTACAGACCATGAGGTTTGTACAAGCTTTTTTAATCAGTTGGCTTACCACTAGGCCTACTGTATTTTTTCGCTTAGAAACTCATCAGTGCTGTTCTGCCAAATGAACAGTTGCCTTCACTTAGCACATAGCAAGTTATTAATTTTCAAAGCTCTAAAAAGGTTCTTTAAACTCTTGTGTTCCCCAGCGCAGGGGTCCCTAATATGTTTCAGGAAGTCGTGATAGACATTTCCTTCCCAAATTGCTAAATTAGGAACAGAACCCTGAAAGGAACTATGTGGGTTGACACATTCATTCCTATGAAATGGCAGGTGTATGGTAGATATCTGGTTCAGAAGAATCTGTAAAACAGTACTGACATGCTGCACTGACCACAAAACCCTCCGCAGTGCCACTGTCTGGAAGACACCACTAGACAGTTTCAAATAAATATGGGAATGGAATTTGAGACAGGTCACTGCCTATTGTCTGATAATTTGTTGGGCTGTCTGCTCAAGGGTATTTGTAGATTTAAAGAAATAAATATCCTTCTAAGATCAGATGAATTATCACAGCACATTGCGCAGGATCACATCCTGGTAAGTTTGAGTATATCCAGAGAAGGAGACCTCACAGTCTCTATGGGCAGCTGGTTCCAGTGCTCAGGCTCACTCACCATAAACTTTTTCTCTCATGTTCAGATGGAGCTTCCTGTGTTCCAGTTTGTGCCCATTGTTCTTGTACTATCACTGGGCACCACTCAAAAAAGTCTGGCTCCATTCTTTTGACAAATATCCGCACAGATATTTGTATATGTTGGTAAAATCCCCCCTCAGTTTTCTCAGTCTGAACAGTCCCAGCTCTCTCAGCCTTTCCTCATAGAAGAGATGCTCCAGTCTCTTCACCATCTTAGTAGATACCACTGGACTCTCTTCAGCAGCTCCATGACCCTCTTGTCCTGGGGATCCCAGTACTGGACCCAGCATTCCAGATGTGGCCTCATCAGCACTGAGCAGAAAGCCAGGATCACCTCCCTCCAGCTGCTGCCAATGCTCTTAAAAATGCATCCCAGGAGACCATTGGCCTTGGTGACAAGGGCTTCTTGTTGGTTCATGGTAAACTTGTCCACCAGGACTACCAGGTCCTTGTTCACAGAGCTGCTCTCCATCAGGCTATTATCAAAGTATTTTTTCTCTTAAGTCAGTATCCCCTGTTAACTGACCACAATGTTCCTTTTCCCATGCAGAACTTTGATATAAGCTTTAACCCAGAGAGTTTTGGTTATGTTCATATCCATAAAGTGGATGGCATTCAAGCAAGAGCTGAAATGGAAAGTTTTCTGCAGATGGAAGCTGCTCTGCAAGCAAATATTCCAGAAAAAGATAAGAGTGGATCAAACCTGAAGATGAGCCCTGCTATGATCAACAAAAACAACCTGAACTTGCCCGTGACTTATGGAGGAGTCTGGCCAGATGAAGCTTTGAATGAGTCCTTTGGTAAAAGCCAGTTTCTGGTCCCTGAAGGGTTCAGCAGCTCCAGCATGTACGAAGTGTGCAGCAGCAACGTGCCCCTGTGCAGCGATGGTCCTGGTCTGCACTGCTCTCCTCCCTTGCACCCCTCAGGCCAAACCCAACCAGAGCCGGTGTCGCATACGCAGCCAAGCAGCGAAACTCGGCCAGCAAGCAACGAAGATGAATACGTCACGATGTCCAGCTTTTACAAAACTCAGTAAGGCTCGAAGAACAGCAGAATACAACAGCTTGTGTTTTTCTGTAACACAAGCAGGACGCTGCCTCTCTTGCCCTCCTGCATCAGGGAGTAGCACCCCTCGGTGGTGCATCTTCAACATCGTGCTAGGCTTAGGAGCAAGAGGATTCACCTACACTTCAGCATAGCCGTCTTTCTCAGTATGCCAGTAGCAATCTCCACTGTGATAGAAATTAATTCAATTCTCCCTGACTTTAATTTCCAGATCTGATTAACCAGGGACAATTACACTTCTAGCTGGGAATCACTGCGTGTCTCCTAAGCATTGGTGAACTCTTCTGTTGACCTCTTGGTTGCAGAGCTAAGCATTTATTAATGCCTAAACAAGAAGCATGGCAACAAGAAGCACGGCATCAAATCAAATTGAATCCAATCTCTTTTAAGCTGAGGTAGGTCAAGAGCAACTCTGCTGCAGTTGCAGGGACACTGGGGGGTTGTAAGGGAGAGTTTTTATCAAGCATTAGTTATCTGGGTATTCAGGAGCTTGATCACTGTAGAGGGAGGTTGCTGAGAAATCACTTTATAAAGACATTTTAGCATTAGTTATCTGGGTGTTCAGGAGCTTGATCACTGTAGAGGGAGTTTGCTGAGAAATCACTTGATAAAGACATTTTCTCAGACTGATTTTTTCAGAGAGATGAGGACAAAGTAAAACCCCCTATATAACCACTTTTTGTGGCTGGTGATCTGCCCTGGAGACGATTTTAGGAATTTTCGACAGATCTTAAAGATATTCAGTATTTGATTTCACTACCATTTCTTAACTAAGAAATCAAGCAAATGAAACAAAATAAATGAAAAGTGAAGCCCCAGCTCTTCCTGCAAACTGTCCGGACCTGTAAAATGTATGACACCCTCTTTCTCTGCAGCCCTTGTGTAAGCATTAGCGCAGTGTGCAAGGTCTTTCCAGGGCAGAAAGACTGAGCTGGCCCGTTTCTTCACTAGCATTATTCCCAATGACTAAGGCTGCAGGAGAACTCACTGAACTTAGCCAGATATTTCTTTCATGCCATATCTGAGCTAGGAAGAGTGATGAAGCTTTATGGATCCTGAGAAGTACTGGAAGAGCTATATTAAAAAGAAATAGAGAAAAAAAGAACAAGTACCATGTAAAGATAATATAAAAGAAAATTTTTAGTGTTATTATTGAGGAAGACACCTGTCCCTCTCCATCCACTCTCTTGGTGACTCTGTACCCGCTCCATGGGGAGGCTTGGCCACATGCTGCCACTCAGGAGGCTGTGTCACTTTGCAGGCAGTCCAGGATGCCACGTGCCACAAAGTGCTTGGAGATGAAGCTGCTACAGCCATAGGGCTTCCTGACAGCAGAATGGAGTGTGGCCATGGGGAATCCAAGTCACTTTGCTAGGCTCTGGAATCAGGGTTCACCTCCCCGTGACAGATCAGTCCCTCTAGCTGCTTTAAATTATCCTTTATCGAAACATATGCATGTTCCCACAATCAGTCGGGGTAAAAGGAGACTTCTCATCCTCAGAGCTGCTCTGACTTGTTCTGACTGGTAATAACCACTAAGAAGTTGTTATCTGTGGCACAGATTCCTTCAGGAAAACAGCACTCCCAAGATGGTACTTCACCTTCTCCAGATCCACCAAATACGGGAATCTCCAAGGGCCAACTTGATGGTCTCTCTGTGTAAAGGACCCAGAGATTCGACTCTCAGTTTTCCAGGAATATTTTATAGAAATGTTTTATTGCTGTTTCTAACAGAATGGCAGGTCGATTAATACAAAAAAAAAAAAAAAAAAAAAAANAAAAAAAAAAAAAAAAAAAAAAAGATAAGATCCTTGAATATTCATTTGCTTTGTAATGCTTGTATTTAATTTTAAAAAAATAGCTGCTAATTATGCTTGTACTATGAAACTTGCATAGTGCAATTGTAGATGCAGATAGATTGTGTCGGAGAGGTATCCTGTCCTGGTAACTCAATGACAGATAGCAAAGAAAGAGGGGAAAAAGCAAAAGTGTATCAGAAAATCCCATACAGTATGTGCTATGCTTGTTTTCAAATCATATATACATTTTAAAAGGTCAAAAGGGATTTCACAAGCATCCATTTGCACTATTTAAACAGAAAGGTACCTGTAAGTAATTGTCCTTCTGTTTCTCTGGAAAAGCAGGTAGTTCTTTGATCCAGCAAGAGTGTTATAAACCTGATGTTTATTTACATTAATAACTCTGAAACAGTCATATTTCTCCTATATGGTGGCCATATTTTTGCATAGCTGCTAATGTTTAAACATTTATTCTATTTCTTATATGTTATTTAATTAGATAAAACGTATCCTCGGTTTAATAACATTTTACAGTATTAAAAGGACATGGTTATTTGCACCATTTATTTATGGCACTCTGATTCAGCCTTCCCATGCTCATCTGTCAGGAAACCCTCCTGCGGCTGAAAGGGGGATCATGTCAAGGGCTCTAGCTGGGGATCACAAGGCCACTACATCCTGCTGGAAGCAGGTACCAAGGACAAGGGTTTGGCTGCTTTGGGGCAGTCAAAACACTGTTGCCCTGGTGGGAAGGAGATTCCTGCTAGGTAAAAGGGAGGGAGGGAGGGAGGGAGGGAGGGAGGAAGGAAGGAAGGAAGGGCCATCAAACTTCATTAGATTTGGATTATTTTTCTCCGCCTCTGTTCATCAGCACCATGCTGAAAGCCAAGCACAACCAGACTTCCACTTTTGACCCCATCGACAGTCAGGCAGTACAAAACTCATCCTAACTCCTCTTTCCAGCCCACCACTTGGTATCCAGGTTATTATCAGGAGATAACTGACCTCTGGAAATGGGCTAGTGAAGGTGGTTATTTGTACTTGCAGCCTGTATCCTCTAAAGGACCCATCCTTGCTCAGGAGAGCTGGGAACATGGAGCAGGTCTCCGTATGCAGCAGTGAATCCACACCAGGTTAAACCCTCAGGCCACAAACCCTCAGGCTTACAAGAGCATAAATACACTCATAAATACGATGCAAACTCACATACAGCTTGTGTCCTCAGAAATAGACCTTCATTAATATGTTACTGAATGCTGACAAATATGTAACTAATAGAGAATAAGATGATATGTAACTAATAGAGAACTGTGTAGTATGTTATGCTCACAGAAATTGTCATGAAACCAGTTAATGGAATCACATCCAGCTGCTACTATGTCAGTGTCAACAGTCTGGTCATTACAGCGCTTGCAGTCAAGTCCTGTCAGGCTGAATTTTTACAAGTGCTAAGATCCTGCCAAAATAATTCTGCCTGAGGATTAGCTTTTTCTGAAGTGTGGAGCGATTTGCAGTTTTCCTTACACCTTAACTGTCTGACCTGAACCACAGAAGCTGCAGCTTTTGTAAAATTGGTCGCTGACTATTTTTCAGGTGCTGAGGTCCAAAGCTTCAGCCTTCCTGTTCCTCATATGTCATTTTATCTACGACACATATTTGATGGGCATGCATAGGTACAAAATTGCCTAATGAACAACCTTCAGTTTCCTTTTTTTTTAAAAAAAAATCCAGATATGTAACAAAACAAGTTTTTTGGGGGCCACTGCCAGCTTTTAGGCGTAATATCTACACATAGATACAGCCATGTCTATGTTTTGATAACTCTGCACTTGGTCACGCCTGGGGAGTTTCCTTAACCTCCAACAGAGAATTTCCCCTAGTGCAAAACCCAGCCTTGAGTCTGACTCACTACCTGTGTCCTGGTCTAGCTCAGTTTCCGTGTACCATAAGCACTTTATTTCCTTTAGTGTAACCTTCAAACTCAGCCTTCTCACCCCTAGTGCTGCATACTCAGCCATATGTGTAGACGCTACTCTGCCATTTAAGAGGAGCTTGGCTACCTGGCTTGCTTGTACCTGACATACACATGGCAGCTGCTTGCTCCTCCGTTAACACGTACCCACCAGACTGCCCTAGCAATCCCCCACTCCTGCCTTGCACAGCTCAGCCCTCCTCCCTTGGCAGCCCATTTGCATCAGGCGAACAGCTCCTCAGGCACACGGATAGTAATGTGTGGAATTAGAGAGGCTTTCATCAGCTGTATCAAGTAACAGCCTAATTTTAATGATGCTGAAAAATGTTAATTGCCTCCCAAGGTGGTACTCATCCCCTGCTGGTATTACTAGCTTGTTTACCACATCCTCTCCTGTTGTGCTGCCCACTGGAAAGGCTTCCCCAATCTTTCTGATAGTGTTGGTAGGATGGCATGTGAGACCTGGGACCATCTCTCCCCAAGGGGAAGAAAAGTTTCAAAGAAGGCGTAAGGCCTGGGTGGTGAAACAAATGATGAGTCAAAGACACCTTCAGTTCACCACCAGCTAAGGCTCCATTTCCTCAGGGTACCATTTGATGAGGCCACGGTACCTCTGAGGCAGCTCTTCTGCCCAGGGGAAAAGCAAGAGCATCTGCCTGCCCTGAGGTGTGAGGCCCTGCGTTGATGCCGGTGAGACCATGGCCAAAAAGCGGTGCAGAGCAGAGTTCTTGGAGCTTGCCCAAAGCTGCAGGCGATTATTGACTTGAAGGCCCATATTTATACGGTAATATTGTCACCTTGCAGTACTGGGGTGAATAAGGGAAAGTTTGTAGGTAATACGTAATATGTAATATGTAATATGTATGGTCAGACTCCACGATCTTGAAGGTCTTTTCCAACCACAATGATTCCATGATTCTATGATAACAGAGACTTGATCTGCTAAGAACCATTCTAGGGTCAAATAGCTCCTTATTGCTGCTACCACGAAGCAGCCCAAATGAGCACTTCTGTGTAAGTCACTGGCAAAGCAAAGCTCGCATTCAGGCCCACAAGAAAACAGCTAATGATGCTGGAAATGCAACTGCAGCCCAAGCAGGTTGGTGCCCGCTTCACTCCCAGAGCAACAAGGCTGCTGTTTCTTGGCTTTTAAGCGCCATCTGTTGAACATACGAAGCTCCACGCAAGTGTCCACTGACACTGCTGGGGTCACCAAACCCCTCGGCTCTGAAAATCCTAAAAATCAAACAAATAAAACCCTTAGCTTAATAGTATTTTACATCTTTATAGTCTCTGATATCAAAGAGATGAGGGCCAAGAGAAACAAAAGTCAGAGTTTCCAGGATTTCTTCATCATTAAAATGAAGTAGGCATCACTATCCACAGAAGCACTAACTCCAGCGTAGTAGTTCAAAAACTCATCTTTTGTGACCTGGGGATGAGAAAAACAGATTTTAGAAGTTGCTATGGCTCTATATGGTAGCCCAAAGCAGAGTGTTGATGTAACACATGCACAGTTCTTGAAAGTAATTCTTCCAATTCTTTCAGAGACGTCTCATTTTTATGACACATTGTCAGCTACTCTGGCATTAGGATCCAGCCAGCTCTCATATTGCATCTGATCCAATGACACTGAAGTCATGGAATGAGCTTCTTGCATTTGAGATTGAGCAGTTGCTACATCCTGAAAAAATGAATATAACAAAAGTTATTCAATTATGGATGAATATTAACAGCACAGCTTAGATGCCAAAAGAAAATTAAATTAGTCCATCAGCACCATCACCAGAAGAATATTAAAAAAAACCAAAGGTTAGTCAAGCAATAAAGAGAAACAAAAAAAGAAATTCATTTTGGAAATCTCAGGATAAAAAACAATGTGGGTTTCTTTGCATTCTTTTTTTCATATTTTCCCTCCTCAGTGGGTTTCAGAATGGACTTCTAGAGAAATAGGATGAGCCATGGTCATAGAGAAAGTCATGAGAAGCTGGCAGTTGCAGAAGGCAGCAGGTCTCCCTCACCACTGTGTCTGCCATGGAAAGCTGAGCTCGCTGCTGCTGCTGCTGCTCCAAGGCAGAGGAGCGATACGGGAGGCAGAAGAAAGCAGAAATCACTAAGCACACTCCTTCTGCCAGCTGGTGATAGCAGACACAGCAAGCCCAGCACGCTCAGCTCCAAGACAACAAAGTTCTGCTCTGCTTACTCTGTTGCAAAGATTCAAGTCATTACTATGCAACAGCTATTACGTAAAAGCAATTTGGTTTTCATTTACCAATAAGCACACTTGTATCCGGCTGCAAAACCTCATCTACATGCACCTGCCCATGCTAACGTATCTCTGTGCCAGGACTCCAAAATTGATCAGCCAAGTGAATATACCTTGTGGTCTAATTGCAAGAAATTTATGCTGCAGGATGAACCAAACAACATTTTTGATCATATAAAGTCAAATGTTTCTCTTTGGGCACAAAAATACAAAGCCAAAAAAAACCCCACAGTGCAACACAACATGCAAAGCTACAATACAGTGAAATGTTGCTGAGGTGCTCGGGTACTGCAAGTGGTCACTGCAGAAGCCCAAGGCAAGTGTGGGGCACCCCACATGCACCTCGAGCTTCCTGCCCCTCTGCCTCCCACATCCCATGCCTGCTCAGCCGGGAGCGCTCACAGAGACGGGTTCTCATGGCTCAGATAGGAAGGCCTCTTTGGGGAAGGAGGAGGCTGAGGCGGTGTAAGGAAGGTTTTTCCTTCTCTGGGTGACCACAGGTGACAGCCAGTGCTTTGGGTCTGCTGCTGTGCTGCCTGTCCAAATGTCCCTGTGCAGGGCAGCCTGGAGCTCATGACAGGGCAGCAAGCCAAACATTTGCTTCTCATGTGTCCTATGTTTTGCGCCATCCTGTTTAACTTCTGTTGCAGAAACAACAGTGCTAGAAGATCTTACAATCTTGATGCTGGTGCCAGATATGGTGGCATGCATTGGCACCTATCTCCCTGTATCTGCCGTGCGCACGGTGCAACCACGAGCTCGGCAGGACGCCCTGTGCTGCTTCAACTATCTACAGCATCTGCTGGATCTGTACCCAGCACACAGCAACCTGCAGCTCAGTGCAGACTCTTGAACTTCATTTTCAGTTCTCTGGGTCCACAGTGCAGCACCCCTGGCAGGGCAGGATAGCACTAATGGGTGGCTGTGACCATCTGCCTTGATGAGCCTCGATGCCTGGCACTCCAGCTTCCCTTTATGTCCTGCAAAGTGCTTCCTCTGAAGCTCCTGCATGTGTGCCCACTGCAGGATTATGTCTGCACATGCCTCAGTAAAGATGTTACTTTACATGTTACTTTAAAGATGCTACCTACTTAGCAGTCAATACAATGCATGTGTTTCTTCCAAGATTTTGCTCACATATTAATCAAACAGCATGCTTGGCAGCGCAGACTGCAATTTGTATGCTACTACATTTGTTTACAAGTACAAAGCTTGGCATGTTCATCTTTCCCACATCGTTCCTTTTACCTATGAGCAATACACCTTTTTGTAGTTATTTTCTCCAGAACGCTCGGGAGCAATTCTACCCCCACAGAAGTGAAAGGAAACTTTGCCACTGACTTCAAAGGAACCTGAAGCAGCCCTTGGAAATGTGCTGTGACCATTTTCAAAATTACATAATTACAAAAAATGGCCTGCTGAATGCTCTTAGAAATGTGTCCAGTGAGTCATGAGATCTACATTTAGTGAGACCCCAAGTGCCAGGACTTGCTCTGAGAGGTGAGCAGCGCTCCACATGCAGTTTGCAGCGTGAGCGGAGCGTGGAGCCCTTGCTCGAGGACGAGGCAGCCTCTGAACTCTCCTCATCTTTCAGGTTCCACTGCAAAACTCTGTTAGTGAAGTTCGGTGCAGAATAAAGAAGGAAATACCACCCTGAAGCACCGAGCTGTCATCAAGCCAGCTCGACATCATCGAGCCATCGGAAGAGGCTTGATCCAAGGTGCACAGAGGTGAGAGAGACAATGCTGCTGTCGATCTAAAAATGTAGTGTTGGGTCTGGTACCGCCATTTGTCAAGAGTGCAGAAGGATCCAAAAGATCCTTCTGAAAAGGTGTATTGTATTTAGGATTGCATAAAATTGGAAAGAGTTAGTACAGAGCAGACAAACTGGTTAGGAATTAGGTATTCAGATTCTGTTTTGCACAGTGCATAGCACAATAGATCACTGTGGAGTCTGAAACATTCAACTAATGTATGTCTTTGGGAAATCTTTTCTCTATTTTGTGATTCCCACAGCCCGATTACATTGCTTTCTTCGTATCTGGAACATACTAAATAGAAAACACAACAGCCTGCCGGGGAGCCAGTGAACAAATGAGAAAGAAATAGGTCCTATATAAGGTGCCAGTATGTGTAAAACCTCTCATACGAGATTTGCTTTTCATATAGGGCACACAGATACTTCAGCAGCCTCACAGTGGGTAAAGACACCTCTTACGACTGATGACAAACATTGATCTTATACAGTTCTTGCTAAGAAATTGCAGGTACCTGTTGCTTGTACTGAGAGGTCATGTTTGGACAAAATAGAAAGCAGAATTTGTAGAGGATCAGGAGATTAAGCTTTTACAGCTTGTTCATAAGTCAGTATAAACATAAAAAGCAGCAGTAATGACTTTTGAAACAGCTGTGTACGTAGAGCAGTCTCCACATTGGTAAATCCAGGACCAGTGAGAAGGAAAGGCTGTAGCACAGGTATGCCCTGTTGAAGATAAAATGTTAGCCTGTTGCCCTGTCAGAAAGACAGGGCAAGAAAGACAGAAATCAAAGAAAAAGACAAGACATAATCAAGTCTGCAAAGATTTGGACCAAGGTACACACACAAAAAAAGCTGGCGCAGCTGTAAGAAGCAAAGAAAAAGAAGTTTTCATCGAGTCCTTAACATTTATGTTGGTCCCTTCTCCATTTGTTTCCTCCTCCAGTTTCCCAGCACTGGGAATTCGCATGCTCTCAGCATGGAGCTGAACCCTTAGGCAGTTGCTCCATCCCACATGTGAGGCAGAAGATGATGAGCAAAACAGAGGTGCTGGGAGGAGATGGGTGTGCGACCCTCCATGCACTGCAGGGGCTGGTGGTCCTGGGACAGCCCTTCTCCCATTTATAACAGTCTGGCCAAACCAAAAGCCTTCCAGAATATTTCCTTCCCTTACATGCCCTGTGAAGCACTGGTGTAACCAACATTAGAAGAGGGGATACAGTCAAGAACCTACTGCAGATGTCTGAGAAGAAATGAAAAGCTTCTCTGAAAGAAGAAAAGAGCGGTCAGGGGTGCAGAAAGCAAAGGCAAAGGGCTGTTGGGTGGCAGGGTGCCACGTATGCAGCTGGTGCTCGGGGGGTGAGCCCAGCAAGGCACAGACTCTAACTGGGATTTCTGCAGCTTGGCTTTAATCTGCACCATGACTGGAAGCTGTGGTAAAGGAAAAGGAGCGTGGTGTTGTGCATGCACTTAATCACGTGGACCTACAAAAAGTGGAAATAAAGTCTTATTCCTTTAATCATACAATTAGAGTTTCCAAGCGTTTTTCATCATGACGATAAAATAGACATCGGTGTCTATGGAAGCGCTGACTCCTGCGTAGTAGTTCATGAATTCTTCTGTTGTGACCTGAGGCAGAAGGATTTAAAATAGGAAAATGAACCTTTATTTTCTTCATGTTGTAATAAAAACTACACATTTAGAAAAACTCTAAATTAAACCTTAACATCTGCTATTTCACATTATTACTAGAAAATTAACAAAGCAGGAAGAATGAAGGCAGTGAAAATCCACCAAAGTTCATTTCTTCTCTACTAGGCACAGAGCTCTTGTCCTGCAGGTATGCTTAGACAGGAATTGAAGATGTACAATTGAACTTATCTTGGCAGGAAACAAAGTTAAAATCAGTGATGCTGAAGAAGATAAATACCGTTATGTAGTTTTTAAAGGGGTACTCTCATCTTAGCATCGTCATTAATTAAAATGATTTCTGGTGCAACCCAAATACAGCTAGAATATTCATATACATTCACCAGAAAGACAATATCACTGCTTCACCTAAATCTCATTTAAAGAAACAAAAAGTCTTTCAACTCCCAAAGAGTTCTGAATATTTTTGATACACATTTTGGACTTGAAGTAAATGCAGTTAGACTAAATATGATTTTTTTAAATTAGATTTAACATGTACTACAAATATTATCCTTAATTTTTGAATCATACAGACCATTCTTTGGATAAGACAGCTCATTAAAATTATTTTCTCCCATAGTGTTTTGCATTGTGCATTTGACTTCAAAGTGTGTGACAGTCAGGAGAACATTTTGGCCTATCCTACCATTACAAAGCAGGTAGGAGCATCCCTGACCCTGGCTGTTTCAGAGGAACCCTCCAAGATTACTGGGAAGATGACCTTTCTACATCTCTAACATCTTCATAGAAATGTATGGAGGTGTTTCAAATGCAAGAGGCATTTGAAAAAACATTTTAGGTTTTCTCACTTCACCAGCTATCTTCTTCTAGACTTTGGTAGGAAAGATTTAAAACTGTTTGTCAGCAAAATCCAGACCAAGTAAGTTTTCAGTGCTGAATCCAGAGAATGTAGCTCCACTTCAAGTAGAAGTCACATCTATACACTATATCCCAAGAAACATGAAAGCTAATTCCTCCTCTACAAACTGACAACTTGCCTGCTGGAGCAAACCAGGTAGAAGGTTAGTGTGTAGCAGCCAAGAATTAGGCTGCAAAAAGCCTAATCCTTAGGTGCAACCTAAGAAAGTCTACTTCAAAAGGGACAGGGAAGTGTTAAAGACATTGTACAAAGTTCTGAGAAAACCTTATCTATCTGGCTCATTATTATCAACAGCTTGGATGGAGGATGTGGAAATATGAGGCAGACCTGGGCTTGCTCTGTGTTGGTTGGACACATGCTAGTTTGGCTCAAAGTGCTTTGCACACTGAGGAGAAAGAAAGTAGTCTGAATGGTTTGGAGCTTGAGAAGGTTGTGAAGTGGATGCTCAAGTCCCTCACATAGGTGACCAAGCTCTGTATCTGAAGGGGAAAACCTTGGCTGAGTGGCAGGCAAGGCCTCCCCACACTGCCCCAGGCCAGCAGCTCCTCGGGGCACAAACCTCTTGGTCACCTCAAGCCCATCTGAGCCCCTTGCACCTGCCCCAGCTGGAGCTCACAGTTTTCTCTTTTTCTTTTTCTGCTCTAGCCCTAATCTCTCTTCCATTCTCTTTGGATAAACTCGTCTCTATTGTGAGATCATTTGCAAGTCAGTTATCTAAGCAATTACATATTCTACAGAGGAGTTAAACATAAGGTATTCCAGAAAATCTGCTTGTGAACTAGCTCCTGGCTTTTATTTTCCTGAGTGAGAAATCTTCCAATTTACAGGGATTTTGAAGAATAACAGTTGTGGTGGGTTAGTTTGAAGATATGCTTACAGTTCAAGCTTCACCAACAGTCCTAATCACTGATTATTCACCTGCCTTACTGTTTCCCATAAATGGGACACAAATGTCCTGCAGATGCATGTTTGGTACTGGCACCACTCTTACATTCAATAATCTTAGCTGTGAGTCAAATGCTTTTGTGGTTTCACATTACATATTTCACTTACCTTCCCATCCTTGTCATAGGGTGAATCAAAGTTATCTAGAAAGGCCCTAAACACTTGATCTTCTGTCCAGTCTCCATTCTGGTATTTAGGATGATGCTTGGCATTATAAACCCCCCGTAAGTCTTCAATTGTTATGATACCATCTCCAGTTTTATCTAGCTTCCTAAATGCCTGCATGATTATCTCTTTCCTGGCATTCGACATGGGAGGCTGTAAAGAAATATTAACAGATTTATTGCATTTCTGCCAAGTACTCGCCCACTTCCAAATTCTCCAGTTGTTAACAGTAACTCTAGCTCACACACTAGGACAGCAAACTATTGATCATTTAAATTGCCCATGAGATAGAAAGCACAATATATTATCAAAACTCAGAGCAATAGAGCTTATCCCGTGTCAATCAACAGGCTAATAAATAGACAAAAAGAGAAAAAAAAGAAGTTTCCTGGAATACTTTTGTCTACTCTCAATTATAAATATTTTAACATCAGTAAACACTAAGTATTTTCTCTTTCTTAGCTTTTTAGATCCAGCAGAGTCCAAAGAGTCCCCAGTCATGCTGTGTTTCATCAGAGGAAACCCCTAACGTGTTATAAAGAAATATGTTATAAGAGGATGGGGGAAGTGAGATTAATGGACGGAAGCACATAGCTATCTAAAGTGTAATATAGGTGGAATTTAGGTACCTAAAACAAGATAGCAATTTGTCATTATATATATATATACCCTTTCTAGGAGCCATAGATTATTTCAGTAAGTAACAGAGACATTTTTAGGTTCTGAGCTTTCTTATCCACAAAAAGTTAACTTTGGCAATTTTTCCTTTAAGTATATGCATTAGCATATGGAAATGGAATAATTTAACTTCTCAGGAGTTACAGATTTCAAATACAACTGTAGATTATGCTGATTACTCATATGTTAACCAGCACTGTATTTAGCTAGCACTGATCATGTTCAGCTAATGATGAAATGAGCCTTTCTTCCCACTTAATGCAATAATACCATAAATTCCCAGACTTACTCTTAGTGTAACAAGAAACTCATCAAAGTCAATGGTCCCACTACCATCTTTATCAAATACCCGGAAAATCTGTTGTGCTTCTTCCTTGTCTATCATCATAGCATAATCGTTCAATCCTTTCACAAATTCTTTGAAATCAAGAGTCCTGCTGTTGTCATCATCCATAATCCGAAATACTCTGTTGGCAAATGTGTAATTTTAAGTTAATATAATAGAAAACTTAGAGAATACTTCAGCACTTCATCACAAAGCCGGTGCATAGGGCCACCTGACTGAGATAACATTTCCCTCTTCTACAGTCTTCTGCAGAAGAGGGAAAAACAAAGCAAAACAACACAACCTTTGACAGCAGACATGACTTGCTTAGATTGGGTGCCTGAATTTTACAGAGCTGAAGTTAAATGAGATGGAATCTACTCTAGCTGAAGCAGTCCCCCTAAGCATTATATATTAAGCTACCTAAAAGCTGGCCATAAGATTTGTTTACCCCTACCATCACCCCTGGAAAAGGGATCTTGCTTTTCTCCCATTATATGCCTTTGTTACAACTCTGGCACTGCTGATCACTGCAGTGCTCATGCTGCTACTATTAGAATGGTGAATTTGACTTCTTGGACTCACCTGCCAAGCCCCTTAATGCCTGCGGATCCCCTTGCTAAACACTGCAGACGAAGCCTTTCGACGGGGTCCGTGGTTTTGGAGAGGTTTCTTTTGGCCTGGATTGCCATCTCACGGTCGTGCCTTGCTGTGCCCGGCATCTGGAAGACCAAAGCTCCCGAATAGCATGGGTTCACATAGACAACACACAGCTCTGAAAACTCGTACTACAGGATATAGCATCATAACTCCTTAACTGACAAGGGCATCACTTTCTACTGAGAAATGCTTGATGCCCCTGTCTTGCAAACATTTAGGTACTCCCTTATTTTCTCAGAGCTTGGGCTTGAGCTCTGATTTATCTGTGCTTCTCGTTCTGATGCTCTGCATCAGTTGTAACTGAAGTATTAGCTTAGACCCTGCTTGGAGCTATAGGAATGGCTTGGATCTGAGTATTTGCTTGCTTTCCTAATGCAAACCCTTGACAGGGACTATTGAGCTCTGCTTTGGACTTGGTAGGATTAAAGAGTTGTAGACAAGAGCTCAGGAAAGGCTTGCACATCTTGCACATCTGGAAGTCTAAGGAAATTTCCAGAAAGAGAGAAATGAAGCTGGCAGCCCTTGCAAAAGGTCCTCAGGACAGAGGGGGCAGCTCCCACCCAAGCCTTCCATGGAGTAAGAGGTCTGGATGCACCCGTAGCTGCGAGGAGAGGCCTCGCAGAGGTGATCGAGTCTGACAGATGAATAATCAGGGCATTCGGTGCCAGCAGCTCTCACATGAGGATGTGTTTTGACCCTCTTCTGTTTCCTTTTGGTTATATCCTTTTCTCAGAAGGGGAAACTGTCAGAGGAACTGAACTTTTTTTCTTTCCACCGAGTGAAAATAATTGCTTTGATCTACACTACGTGGGTCATCAAACCTCAGAGGATTGCTCAGAAAATCCACCCCTAACCTTAACCCAAGAAATAAAGTGTGGCCATGACTTTGCTTTGCCTTCTGAGGAAGACCACGCTGGAGGGCAGGTCAGCACGGAGAGCCAAGGTACCTCCCATATCCCCCTCAGCCCCACTGCGCCTCTCTGCCACTCGTGCCCTAGACCACGTCCCACCTGAGGGCTCCGGGAGGCTCCTCCTCGCAGGGCTGGTGCCACTTGCTAAGAAAAGCAGCAGGATGCTGCTGTTTCAGGGACACGTCCTGACCTCGGCACACGCGAGCTTTTACGCAGCAGCAGGTCACGGAGTGCGGGCGCTTCTCTGTAGTTCCCCAAACCGACTTCAGATGGTTTGAGGGGAGGATCTGAAAGCCCTGTGGGCAGTGATGACAAATATAAACCACATTCCCATCCTTCTCTGGGAGGTAAAAAAAATAAATAAATAAATCATTTCAGCTCTTGCTTCACCCAAAGTGAGCAAATTTCTCAAGGGAACTCATTAATGAATGACCAGAAGACCTCAGAGCTATGTGAGATCAGCAGTCAAAAGTGTTTCCGCAAACAATGACCTGCCCTTAAGCGGAAATTTTAACTTGGCAAGTATAGTGAGGTTATAAAAACAATGTGTGAACTTTGATTATATTATATAACTACATGATATAGCATTTTGTAGACCTAACGCCTATACATATCTGTGTATATTGTGCATACAACGTGCGAAATAAATGTAGTGTGCTCAGCATTATATGTAGCACGTATTTATGCTCCTTAAATACTTATATATGATGCATGATGAATATGATGTATATATGATGATAGGCATGATATGAGAAAAATAATGACATAATTTGTACCTGTTGAGAGAGAAAAATATCTACAGAAACACATGTCATGGCAAGATTTTAGTCTCCCCTTGCCTCCAGTCTGTGGGAGCTTTTACAGTACACTGCAATTAACTTCATATAATTATTACAGTAAGATTTGAGAACTGCTGCGAGGGAGGCATTGTCTAATCTGAGATGCATTATAGTCTCCTGAACATAAAAAAAAAAAAAAAAAGAAAGAAAAAAAAGGAAAAAAAAACACTAAAATGTGTCAAACATCAATTATCTCTGTACTAAATTTACTTCTATATAATATTTCTGGCTGAGAACTACTGCAACAAAGTCAATTTCCAGATGATAAATGATTCTTTTCTTCTTCCTGAACTTTCCCAAATTTTCCAGTGTACTTTTGCCAATGGGACAGAGCGCTCCAATAATCTCCCTACAGCTACAGACAGAGATATCACAACTTTTCTCTAATGCATCATAGTTAAAAACACTAATACTATTTCTTCTGTTCTTCTTGAATATCTGTCTTATTAGATATTCAGTACCAAAATCACCCGTACCATGCTGCAACACAAAACGTAGTGAAAAAAACGAAGTCCATTCGTATAGATATTTCACTTAAAAGAGATGTAACACTAAGGTGTCTTAAACATGCTGTGGAACAATATATTTTTGAGAATCCTATACATTCATGAACACAGAAAATCAAAAGATTTTCTCAGGGCTGTTGGCACCTTCAGTCCCTTCAAGCCTGGGGAATGGAAGCAGGAGGCACAGGGCGAGACTGCCGCCCTGCTCCGCACCGCAGGGTCACACACAGCCCGGACACGGAGCCTCCCACACGCATCCAGGCCCCGCATTCCCGGAGAGCAGCCCCATGTGCCTGGTGCCGATCCACACGATCCTCCGGGTCATGCGAGCACAGCTCGGCCTCGCAGACCCCACGCCGCATCCACAGGGAAGACCCCGAGTCAATGAAGAGCCTGGGCAGCCTGGACCAACCCCACATATCCATAACTTTCCTTCTCCTTGGGCACCCCTAACCCACTGCAAGCACCCAAGCTGTCCGAGTGCCTCCCACGTCCCAAGCTGTCCGGGTGCCTCCCACGGCCTGCGCCCGGCCTCGCCGCGCGGCCTCCCGCCGGAGCCATGGCGACCGGCTGTGCTCCGCGAGCAGCCCGCCAGCCTCCCCGCCAAAGCGCCCGGCTGAGACCCGCAGCCATCGAGGCGGGGAGGGAACCTCTACCTGCGCGTCCCGCAGCCGCCCGGCCCGGCGGAGCCTGCCAGGGACAGGGTGCTCCCCAGCACCTCCGGCTCCTCCAGGCCCGCCTGGGCAGCGCGGGGGGGGGGGGGCGCTCGCTGCCGAGCCTCCTTGTCCGTCTCGTTTGACTCGTTTCGGTGCCCGACTGCCTTACCCCTCCTTTCCCTAGGCTGGAGTTTACCCGCGCGTCACCAAGGTGACCCCGGTGGTGGCAGGACCCAGCCTACAGCGACTGCGCTGCTCCCCGGGGGCGGGTAGTCCTGGGATTCCCTTTATCCACCTCTTTTTTCCCTCCTCCTTTCCCCCATACTGGCTGGATGAGACCTTGCTCCTGTAAGCTGGGTCTGGTTCTACTTGGGGGACCTGCGGGTTTGATGAGCGAGTAGATACTTGCGCTCCCTCTCCCCAAGGAGGCCAGGCCAGGCTTCAGTAGCTTGTTTTCCAAGCTACACACTTGGAAAAACTTCTGTGTCCTCTTCTCAACTCAAAATGCAATCAGGGAAAATAAGTAAAAGTCCAGCCGTGACCTTACACAAGACCCTTGCTTGCTGCGCGTGTGGCCTTTTGCTGCTGGTCAGCTTACCTTCTGCAGGACTGCTGGTGGAGGAAACCAGCAGAAACGCTGAGACTGGGTTCATTTGCAGGGAAAAGGCAGAAAATTGAAAAGGTTAAAATTTGTGCGATGCAGAAAAATCTACTTCAGCAAAAGGTCACAAGTGTTGTTAACTGGAGAGGGAACCAGCTTATTGCTGGATGCTGGGGATGAAAGTCAGCACGCGCCAGGCTCCCTGGCTCTCTCCTGCAGGAACAAGCTGAGCGTACTGGGGCTCCTGGCAGTGACAACTTGCTAAATCCGTCCTGCGGGAAATGGGGAAAGGGCCCACCCTGCACATGGATAGAGCAAGGTGAAAATGAGTAAGTGCATCATTTCCTGATGAGAACAGCACAAGATTGCAGGCACTCACTAGAGCAGAACCATTTGCGTCCCAGCAGCCTGCCGCTTATCTCCCATCGACAGGTACTTCCTGGCCCCGAACTGCGCAGACGCTGCGTTTCCCCATCGGGCAACCGATCGCACGCGAGGCCGCTGAGGAACAGAGCTCCGCTGGTCGTGCATGGATGGAAGAAACACTGGCTTGGAGACAACTGGACCCCCAGCCYCCATATGTTGGTGCTTCATGAATGGATCTGCAGAGGCCACCTGAGAATATGGAAGGGGTTGGGGACATGAGCAGGGCTGTGGGTGCAGGAGGAGCCACCCCTGCTGTTGCCCATGTGCACTGCACATGCAAAACAGAGATGCTGGGCCTGGAGCAAGCACATGGTGTGAACAGCGAGCGATTTGGCCTGTGAAATTCAGCACCCTGCCCCAATAAAGCATTTGTTTAGGTGCAGAGTTTGCATTCGTTTTTAGAGGACTGCCCCCACATTGCAAGAGCAAGGGGATGCTTTAGAAAGCAAAAGAAAGCAAAATTTAGCATCTGGATCCTCCTGACTTCCACCCTTTGGCTGCTCGCTGCCGGGGAGCCCATGTGCACACACCTGCATGCTGGCGCTCAGTCCCCCCTCCACGCAGCCTTCATCACGTCTGGGCTCGTTAATGATTTATGAACCTGAGCAATTATTAATGCACTTTCAGTGTCTCCAACTGCTCCAGGCTGTGATTACATTTATCTGATTATATGCGCTCTCTTACTGCACATGAAGCTGTAAGCAGACCAAAGTAAATTCAGCAGCTTATCAAAAAACACACAGAGATTTCATCAAAATCCTGGAATTTTTCTGCCTCATTTCCTGACTAGCTGTGAATACTCAGTTGTTGATTTGTTTGATTTTTGTTAGTGTCCAGCTGAGCGCACTCGGATCAAAAGTGAGTGCACTAGTAGAAGAATTGTGAGATGTATAACATATACATACTATATATATAATTTATAAGCTTGTGATCGCTCCCTGCAGCTCTGATCTGCTGTCATGTGTGCATGCTATTCATCTTAGTCTCCAGAAAAGGTGGTGACATTTAGACTCTGTCCAGGGAATGGTCCCTAGCCCATGCTTATTCCTGTGTCATACCCAGACGCTGGTAAAGAGGGTATTAGTCAGCCCCAGGGCATCTGTTATTTGGCATGTTCTGAGCTGATTAAGTGATTGAGATGATTCCAGAACAGGGGTGGTTATTTTAAAGTAAGGCTTTTCTGCAAATCTGATACAAATCTATTTTAGTAGGAGACTGAGAAATAAAAACAAACAATATTTCAACTAAGAACTGCAGCAGCAAGCATTTATCAAAGATCAAATTATTCAGTGCCTCAACACACTGGCAGTCTAATTTTTCATAATTTTGTCCAAAGTGAACAAACTGAACKTTTTCATTTTGATTCCTTGATGTTTTTTAAAAATACTGGCAAGCTTTTCTCAACAACAGTTAGACAATGTAATGAAGGCCTAGTGCAACTGAGAAGCTTCTGTGTTTAACCCCCTCCCTGTGTTTAACCACACTGTTTTTGTCCTCAGGAGAAGATAACTATTACACGAAACTAGTGTTTAGTAGGATCAAATATGTTTTGATGCTGAAAACAGCAAAAGATGTGCTTGGTGCTTGCAGGAGGAGGAGGGAAGGAGGGACGGGCAGGCCATCTTCAGYGTGCTGAGATTGGTGCTTCCCTGCTGAGAACGATCCGTTCTCAGGTCCAAGTGGCCAAAATCACCAGCTGGGTGTTCAGGGTAGTTGCTCCTCAGAGTAGCCCCTCTAAAGACTAACGTAACCAAGGACTGGAGAGGAGGGCTGGGCGAGAAGAGCAGTTGTGAGCAGAGGCTCTTTCTTCTGGGACATGCTGGTGGCTGCAGGGAGAGGTTTTAGCTCCTAGTGAATGGAATGCTTCCCTTGTCAGCTAAGGAAATGCGGGACAGCAGCTACTACATGAGCCTGTGAGGAACAACTTCTAAAACAGCTGCAGACAGGACGTGTTCTTCGGTGCTGGTCTCTACTGGGGCAGTCTTGGCCTCTACTTCCTGAATCTCTTTGTAGCACGTGAATCAAAGAYGTTTCGCTGACACGGGGGCTTGAGGTAGTAGAGTGATTAACTAGTGCCCTGTTGTAAGAGGGCTGCCCTACTGCCAAAATCTTACAAGACAGAAACAACGGAAGCCCAACCATGTGTATTTAGTGCCATTTCAGACACCAGCTGTAGTCCAGGTGGCTGCCTGGAGCTCTGCAGGACCTACCTGTGCTC